GCCTGCGTGACCACGGCGGGCCACGCCGGCCGCGCACCGTCTCCCGCAAGCCTCAGAAGCCCGCCGGCGGCTCAGGCGGCCCCGCGGCCCGGGGAGCTTCCATGGTGGCTCCTGCCCCCTGACCCGGAAGCAGTTCTCGGGGCTTCCGGCTCGCTGAGGTTTTTTTTCCCTCCGCCTTCGCGTGCCGGCTTGTTGCCGACGAGTCCCGCATCCCCCGGGCGACCCGGGGCATGGCTTCTGTGGGAGTCATGGGAGCCGAAGGGCTACCACGCGTGTCCTCTGGGCCTGCAGACCGCTTCCCTGCGTCTCCCACCAGCTCTCCGAACTGCGTCAGACTTCCACGGTGGTCCACTCTCATCTTGGTGTCCTTTGTCCCAAGAGCTGTGGCTGGTTTTGCAGTCACTTGACTTGATGGACGGGACTCTTGTTGGAAGACATACTATAGTAAAGATGCTGTAGCAAGCTGAGACACTTGACTTCTGACATCTCAATCAGCAGGTCCAGCTCTTTCCCCTATGACCATCATAGGTCCCCTCTTCACAACCCATAAAATGTCTTGTTTGTATTGTTTTATTTTGTTTTGGAGACTGGGTTTCTCTGTGCAGTCCTGGCTGTCCTGGAACTCACTCTCTAGACCAGGCTGGCCTCGAACTCAAGAGATCTGCCTGCCTCTGCCTCCCGGGTGCTGAGATTAAAGGCTTTGCGCCACCACCGCCGGGCACAACTCCTAAAATACCTTAACTCTGCTTACACTATTCTTTCCTCCCTTCTCACCTTCCAAATTCAACATAATCGGATGCGTTTTTGCAGATCTTTGAGAGTCTGGTCTTATGAAGCATTCCTGAAGCACCAGGGCCAGACATTGACCGTATTCGGGAACAGAGACTGGATGCTCCCCTACCCACCAGCCACCAAGGGAACTGCAATACAGTCAATATAGTTTCGTTAGTATGTTTCCTTAAGCAACTTCCTAACTACTATGAACTTTAACACTTTTTCCCCCTATAAAGATGGGGACTATTACCTACACCACAGGGTTGCCTGAGAGGGCACTATGCTAAAGGTTCTTATTTGTATTATGGCCCTCAATCTCACAGTATCATGGAACAAGGTGTATGTGTTTGCAGGCGTGTGTGTGGGGGGGTAACTTGCTTATCATGATACAGCTAGTTAAGAGGAGCTTGAGATTCAAACCCAGCACTCTGGCCCCAGAACTGGGAAAGGGCAGAGTGTGACTAAGAGGTTATGGAGCTGGAGCCACTGTGCATGTTGGGTAGAAGCAGAAAGTACAGCTTTATGTGTTGTATACTTTGATGTTTCCTGTGGATGATGGGGAATTATTGGAGACTTCTAAGCCAAGGACTGTATGATCAGGGCTCTATGTCCCAAGTGCTGTTTTATACCATTGTGTGTGTACATACGTGATGGAGGTGGTGCTTCCATGGCACATACGTGGTGGTCAGAGGACAACTTTGTGGAGTCTCTTCTTCCGCCTATACATGGATTCTGGCGATCAGATTTGCATGGCAAGCTCCTTTACCCAGAGAGCCGTCTTACAGGCTCTCGATACTCCAATCTTCTTCTGAGGAAATTATGCTTTTTTTCTGCTAACACAGTGACTAAACTTTCTTTTGCTTAAGTGCTGAGCTCAGTTATTACTTTGATCCCCTTAGGGTAGGAACTAATTTTCATTTTCCAAAGAACTCTGAAAGCAATGTGGAGAACAAGACTGGCGGAAAGGTGGTCAGTTAGGGGGCAATATCTATTGCAAGAGGTGCTAGGGCAGTATCACCGAGTGAAGAGGTTCCAATTTCAGAAATCCATGAGGGACACTTAGGTGATTAGTTGGGATATGGTAAGGTAGATGTTCAGGAAGTTCAGTCTAGGGCTTTAAGTAGAGATGGTACACACAGGAGGAAGATTAGAATTGGTAGTGGTGTGAGGGTTGAGTTCACATTTCTCTCTAACACTTCATTGGTGTTCCATTTAATATATAGTAACATTTCATACTGCATCTGGATAGTAGACTACAAGGGATTTCTGTTGTCTGAATTTATATTACTGCACCGATCTCTGTCATGATAGTCTGCTTGTATGGTGCTCGCACTGAACTAAATCTAGCTCCTTTTCACATCCAGTCCAAACTAACACAGGCCTCCCAGTCTATTAACGTTGGTTTTAAAGATGCTCACCTCTCACATTCTGATGTTTACTGATTTATTGCTATCTCCATTTGTTAGAATGTAAGCTCCATGAGAACGTGGGCCTTGCTTTTTTCATTGCTATATAACAGCAGTACCAGAAACAGAGGTTGAATGAACAGCAAGTTATTATCCCATGGGTATGTCAGACTGTGTCATACTGCCTGAGAACTCCTGTTTACTTACGTTGCTTTTGAAGTGCTCTAGATTACACAAGTTTTGAATTTCAAACTATCTCATTTATCAAAGATCAAGTACCTTCATGTGCCAGATACTGGATTATAACACAGAATAAACATGGTTCCTACCCTCAGAGGCTTCCACATAACCTGGAAAAACAAAACAAACAAACAAAAAAAGGCAGTAACAATTTTGTGTAAGTGCTTTTAAAAGTCCATGGTTCCAGAAGGTCACTTAGGAGACAAGGATCCAAGCCAAACTTGTTGGGTGTGTAAAGGGTTCTCAGGACTATCCAAAGGACAGTGTTACTAGTGACTAGAAGGCACTTGGAGAAGAAATAGTGCCTCTTATTTATCTGAGTACAGTAGATTTTGGCTAAACTAATTCTGTTGAACAGAGTAGGAAGTTGGTGTATATTTGAGCTGAAATAATGGGGTGGGGTGGGGGGTCAGATTATTTAAAACAGAAGTGTTGACTTTCATTCAAGTCTTGCTGACGCCTAACAATTCATTTTCCTGGTCCCTTTGTAGTGAAGAATTATCTAGCTTTCTTTAACTTGACTGCCCCAAACTGTGAATGGCTTTAGTTACAATGCCTACATATCTTAAGTTTAATGTACAGAATGTCCATGCTGAATTCATTATCTTGAACTGAAACTAATTTTAATTTTTGAGACAAAGCTTTGATGCTGTAGTCCAAGCTGGCCTAGAATTATGTAGCATAGGCTAGCCTCAGATTCACAGCATGCTTCCCGCTTCAGCCTCACAAGCGCATGCCAGTCACGTGCCCAGCCTAAAACTAACTATCTGTGAATATTCCTAAATGCCCAACATTTATTTTAAAGAACTTTAATCAAGACAAACCATCTACAACTTTTTTGTTTGTTTTTGAAGACAGGGTTTCTCTGTGTAATAGCCCTAGCTGTCCTGGAACTCTCTTTATACACCAGGCTGGCCCCAAATTCACAGAGATCCACCTGCCTAGAAATTTAAATTATGTATGTGGCTCATATACGGGATGTCACCAAACAGAATAATTTATTAAGTATGTATTAAATATAACAGATATGCAGTGATTTTATTGAAACAAGTTCATTTCTAAGTTTTTTTTTAAAGATTTTATTTCATGTGTATGAGTATGAGCCTGTGCATGTGCAGTGTGCAGTGTGTGCATATCTGGTGCCCACAAAGGTCAGAAGAAGGTACCCCTGGGACTAGAATTACTGTGTGGGTGCTAGGAACCAAACCAGGGTCTTCTGCAAGAGTAGGAAGTGCGCTTTACCACTAAGCCATCTCTCCAGCCCCCCATTTATAAGTTTTGCGAACTCAGTATGCTCTCTAAAACATCAGTGAGAAAACACTTTGGTGTGTATGTGTGGGTGTATGCATATAGAGGTCAGCCTTATGTGCCATTCCCCGGGAGCCATCTATCTTGTTTTGGGAGACACAGTCTCTCATCAGGACCTAAAGCCCAATGACTAGGCTATGATGACATGCCGATGTCTCCACCTTCCCAGTACTGGGATCCTAAGCACAGGCCAGCTCTCATGGGCACATGCCTAGCCTCTTACATGAGTGCTAGGAATCAAACTCAGATGTTCACGGTTCTGTGTCATGCCCTTTACTGACTGAGGTATCTCTGCAGCTCCCACACTTTTTGATGTGAAAATATACCTGACTGGGCAAGGTGGTTCATCTTTGCACTCCCAGTACCTGGAAGACTGAGGCAAGGGACTGCTGAGTTTGTGGCCAGTGTGACCTACACAGAGATTCTGTTTTAAAACAAGAAAAAAAAAAAAAACCCTCCAAATATTGGAAACCTCTATTTCAAATGGACTCACAGTAGACTGTGGATTTACTAATTAATTGTATGTGTGTGTGGCCAGTTAGTGATCTACAGAACACTTCATGGTGGCTTTTAGAAAGAAGGTTCATGAGGAGATGGAGAGATGGCTCAGTAGTTAAGAGTACTTGTGGCCGTTCCGGAGGATCCAGGTTCGATTCCCATGGCAGCTCACAACTGTCTGTAATTCCAGTCCCAGGGGATCTGACACCCTCTTCTCAGGTGCCCCAGGTGTGTACAGACATACATGCAGGCAAAACACCCCCACACATAAAAATAAATAAATAAATAAATAAATAAATAAATAAATAAATAAATAAATAGGAATATTCATGAAAAATGTTAAAAAGTGAAAGGGAAGAGAAATTGCTCTCTGTTGTCTGGGGTGCAGTTTACTCAGATCGGCCAACAATGTGAAAACAAGACACTCCAGGATTCTAAAATGAGAGGGGTACCTCTGGAACAGAAGCAAGGGGAAACTCTGGAGAAACAGTCCCAGTGGTAGCTGCAAGAAAAGACACGAGAGAGCAGTTTACAGACCCGACCTGTCCCCTCTGACGACACACAAGGAATGAACAGTGACATAAGAAACACACGGATGTAAGGGTTTACTAGTTCACATATCAGCGCCATCCATCTGGAGTAAATTAGGGACAACATTTTCTTCTTCAATCCATCATGTTTCATTTACTGTACTTTAAAAAGCAGCAACATAGAGGAATCATTGCTAACCCAGACCAAAGAGCACTGAAGAGTAACAGCCAAGTACACCTCCAATGGTTTCTGCTAGCCTTTATTTGTCAAAGTTTACACAAAAATCTGCAACAGGTGAGTGTGTATAAATCCCACATGCCTCTTTCCATTAACAAACAGAAGAACAGCTCTCATGGAGGGTCATGAAAATAGTATCTAACAAGGTTTGTTGAAACTGTGTTATTCTCAGATTATTTTGAGTATGCTGGAAATGGAGGGAAGCAGATAACGTACCTGTTTATAAAGCTGATGCGCTTTCGTGTTAGCCTGTTGTCAAAGGCAAATGCACCTCAATTCACTTTTTAACTGAAAATACAATGTCTAAGTTGGTTGTTTTTGGCATGAATCAAAACAAAGAAAAGGACTCAAGGAATTTCAGTTCTACAAAGCTTAAGTTTAGAGCTCTCCTTGGAAACAAAAAATATGGACAAAATGCTTATTTTCTTTTCTCCTACCTTCTGTGACACTTTTCATAACAGAAAACCATAACTACAGAGTGGCTTTCACGGCTCCTTAAGAGGGGGAAGGCACAAGTCAGAAACAGGAGTCTCTTGCTAGGCATTTAAAAGTCTACAGATGGATTTCGACCCAAAACTCTGTGTATTCTTTTCCGACTTGATTTGTCCCTCTATCACTTGGTATATGAATGTTACAGACTCCTGAACATCTGCTGTTGCTATGGTGAAGACTCAACTGCTAAATTCTTAGAAGCGAGACCTATCACTTCTCAGCAGCAGATGGCAGTGTTGTACCAGAGAATACTTTATGCCCCGCAAGAGGAATTTATGGGAGCCATAAGACAAAGAAGGCTTTTGAGTTTACAGTAACTGGAACCTTAACAGGACAGCCTGAGACTTGAACAGCATAAATCACTCCCTTTCATCTTCACACTTCATCCAGGTCAACTAACAGTGTTCTCTGATCATTTCAATATTCCACTGCTTTACTGCCAGCAACATGTTTCTAAGTCCTGTACTTCTCAGCACAGCAATTAAGACAAGCCCTGCAACAGGTCAGCAGGGTTGAAAGATTACAGAGGATGAACTCCTACCTGCTTTCCTGGGAGAAGAGAGAAAGATATCAGACGACAAATGAGTACTTTCCCTGTTTACAAACATTTGTACCTGCTTTCCCCTAGTGCTGGGGACCAGAGCCTTCCGTACCTTAGGTAAGGTCTACCACGAGGTACACTCCGAGCCCCACATCCCTTCTGTACATTAGACTTGGCCTTGATGCGCCTAACACTCCTGACAGGTGAATCCTGGCTTTGCTTTTGCAACACAAAATTTCAAGTATTTACCTTTCTAAGACTTTTCTAGATGTCTGTTTAAACCCCATGTCTAATTTTCTAGAGATTAGGACAGGAATTAAGGACATATAAGGAATATAAGGACAGGAACCATCAGTCAGTGATTGGCCATGCATGAAGGGCTGGTAAAATGTACTTATTTTTCCCTGGCAGAAGTTACATGAAAAACGTAAGCAACCACACGTCTGATAGAGGGCCTACACAAAACTCTACAGGGATGTGAGCAAGTACCCCAACAGAAACTGGGCAAAAGCCATCAACAGACGTCTCACTGACAAGGACATACCAATGGTAAATGACCAGTACATGAAAGAATGGTCAACACCATCTGCCATTAGGAAATGCAAATTAAAACCACAATGAGGTATTACAGGCACCTATTCAAGGGGCTAAGTTAAAACAACAAGGATAAACACTAATGAGAATGTGGAAATGTAACATGCTGTAGCGCTCTAGACGAGAGCGGGGAAGTCTAAGAACTACTTCCCACACAGCACAGCAATTGCCCTCTTAGGCATCATCCCAGAGTGACAAAAACTTACATTCACACAAGAACCTTCCGGGCTAAGGGCCAAATCCGACCCCTGTGACCACCTTTAAGCACACTGCAGTAGCATCCACACCCTGGAGGAGTGTTAGCAAGGAAAAGCAAGGAAAAGGTAACAACTAGCAAACCAGCATACATGCCACACCCTGGAGGGGCATTTCACCAGGATGCCGCTGAGTGGGAAGGCAGCCTCCAAAGGTCACCCTCTTGATGATTCCACTTCCACAACAAAGGAACAAAGTCACAGACGTGGTGAGCAGAGGAGGGAGCCAGAGGCTGAGAAGGGAGCGGCTGCCTCGGGAGACCTCGTGCTGGAGCTAGTCCACCTTGAAAAGGTCCCTGGGGTCACACGTGACGAACTGAGCAGAACTAAACACATACACAAGGAGTTCAAGATTGAACACAAACATTTTAATTGTCTAAAACGAGATTTTTCTTTAAGGAAGTTTTCTACAGTTCAAAGCTCACTTCTTTATGTGTCCCATCCACGACCCTTTCAGGAGACATAAAATTATGAAGGCTATCACCAGAAGCTACGTAAACATTTCATCTAAGGGCCAAGAGAAAGTTCAGGGTGTTTTCACAGGGAAGCCGAAGAGGACAAGTGGCTTGAGACAAGCTGAGCATGGTCACAGAAATACTGGGGAAGAACTCGAGTGAAGGACCAAGGTGATAGCGAGGAGGGGAAGCCAACAGCTCCATCGGACCACGTGAGGAAACCCAGGGCCAGTGCTGGCTTTGGTTAGCTAGGTAACCCCTGTATTTGTTTTGTTTTTCCGTAGGCGACTTTAATAATCTTGTCGAAAAACCAGTCCCAATCCTACCGCATTGAAAAGAAGTCCTCATTGACTTGTTGGGTGTAGGTGGTGCCCCATGTTCTCCCACACCAAAAGAAATCAGTTCTGGCAAGAAAACTCCACTGTGCCTTGATGGTACTGTTAGGAGGATGGCCTTGAGCTAGGCCAGGCACGTCCCAGCGATGTTCTGCTGGCTGACACCAGGGGCCGGAACACTGAGCCGCATTACTCTATCAACTTCTTGGCCTTGAAGAAGCGACGCAGGTAGAAGACCTGCCAGGTGGCTAGTCCAATGAGGCAGAACATGGAGAAGATGCTGAAGTACAGGACTCGGGTGTTCGTGGACTCTGAGAAAAAAGAGAAGGCACTGTAAGTGGAGAGAAGGAAGCTGCTTCAGGTGGCCAAACAATGGCCGGGGGAAGACAATGGATTAACCGCATTCTGTCCCTAAGTCTAAGAGTTCAAACAATTAAAAAAAAGAAAAAAAGAAAGCAAAAAGTCGGCTCTGGTAATACACCTGTGAGCTCAGGACTTGTGAGGGTGAGACGGGAGAGTTCCGGGCCAGCCTGGGCCACACAGCAGGACTGTTGAAAAGCACTGGCTGGGGAGATACCTCAGTGGCGCTCCACCTCCTCAGAATGCACAAGGCTCTGAGTTCTGTCTCCAGTGCCGTTCTGCTTCTAACCCCATTGAAAACGTTAAAAATGACAAATTGGTATCCTTTGCTACAAGCCAACTGAGAATATGGTCATTACATGTCACAGAAGACAATTTCATTCTTCTGAAAATCTAGTCAGCTGATTGCCCCAAAGAAGCAATTCCCCTTCTCGGAGTTGTACTCCACTTTCCCAACTGAGGAGGAGCGTGTGCTCTGGGACTCAGGCTCAGGACCGTCCCCATTACAGTTCACTCATCAAGACAGGAAAGCCACCCTCTCTCACCATTCGTGTCCCGCATCTCCTCTTCCCGCTTCTTCATGTAGGCAAAATCATTAACAATGGATTCCGAAAGGTCCTCGAGGCGTCGCAGCTCCACCTCCAATGGCTTGAGTTTCTCAACTTTTGCAATCTGGAAAAGATCAGAGTCAGGACTCCACTCCCAAGAACGCTGCTCAAGTCAAGAACACTGAGCACAAAACAAACAAGACATCAAAGTGGGAGGGTTTGTAGGGCAGGGGTCAGGCAGTGTTGGGAGGAGGCCGAGAGAAGGGAGGGATGTGATCAGAACGCATTATACACACGCATGAAACTCTCGGTCTTTTTAGAAGTTTACCACATTCAAATTTTCTTCTGTCAGTCATCCTAAGATATGTTAAAATTTGGCTTTCTACCTTTCTCTACAAACCGTATTTTTTTCCACCTTAGATTTTTAATTTTGATTAAGATTTCTTGAAAATAAGTATAGCAGTGGTACAGTAAACTCGGCAATCCGGAGGCAGAGGCAGGAAGATCTCCAGGACAAGGTCAGCCTAGAACACGAAGAAAGACTGTCTTCAAAACAAAGCTAGGGAGACGCTGGGAACGGCTCAGTGAGTAAGACCACTTGCTACGAAAGCAAGAACACCTGAGTTCATCTCTAACACCCACGGGAGGTTTTAAAAGCTGGACATGGTGATGCATTCTTGAAACTCCAACTTCGCAGGGCAGCCTGGAGACATGCAGATGGAGGAACTCAATGGCTTGCCGGCCTAACTGAAATGGGGAGTGGATGGCTCAGTGAGACCCTGTCTCAAAAAACAAGTCCAGGAGCAACAGAGGTCTTTTTCATGTGCACGACTTACATACCAAATAAACAACCCACGTCTGTAGAAGTGCTGCTTAGTGGAAGGCTGAAAAACAAGATTTCCACTGCAATACAGTACTTTACGTTGCTTTTTCATTCACTGATAGGTAATAGACACTATAATTAGTATGGTAGCTGTGAGAGTTGTATTAGGTCCAATATACACAGAAGAAGAAAGCGTATGTTCTTACAGCATCACGGAGTAACTAAAAAAATAAAAGCCAAAGCAACACAAAACAACAAGAGGATCCTGTTTAGCACATATAAGTCATACACCACGAGGCTTGATTACAGTTCAAAGCCAAGAGAAATCCTACGTTTGCTCAAAAAAAAAATAAATAAAATAAAAATAAACAAGCAAAAACAAAAAACACCCTAAGTTTTTTTCTCCTTCTTTCCTAAAATGATACAGCCAATTATCAAAAGAAATCTCCAAGGACTCCCTGCAGGCTGAGGAGTGGAGGATGGAAAACTAGTAAGCAGAGGCACATACCACACAAGTGAAAATGTAGTTGCTTTATGTTTGTTTCTTATCAGCTATTATTTCCTTTATTTTTTATTTTTCATTAACGTGTGTGTGTGTGTGTGTGTGTGTGTGTGTGTGTGTGTGTGTGACAGAGAGAGAGAGAGCCAGGCATGGAAGCATACGCCAGTAACCTATACACTCCAGAAGTGGAGGCAGGAGACTTAGGTAATCCTAGGCTAACTACACAGTGGGTTGGAGGTCAGCCTGGGCTACATGAGGGCCTGTTACAAATATAGACATATATGTGTGACAACCAGCCCATACAAACCAACAACTTCCCTAAAAGGAGGGCTCACGATGGCCGTTTTGCCCAGCTGATTCCTTCCACCAGTCTCTCAAGTGGCTGAGAATATAGGCACCCACCATGTCTGGCTCACATTTTACTTTCAAAAGGACAAAACTGCCAGGCCTGTAATCTCAGCTCTCAGGAGGCTGAGGCAAAAGGATCATGAGTTCAAGACTAGCCTGGGCTATGTAAGAAGACTCAAAAAATAAAGGAATAAAATTCTAGAGCTTTCCAAATCTTATGCAAATAGGTTGCTCTTAAGTTTTCCCAAACAAAGAATTTTTCAATAATGCCCTTTCTGCATTTGCCATTTACTGCTTATTTATTTCTTTTCTATTATGAGGCCGAACTCCACTCTACAGCACAGACTGACCTCGAACTCAAAGCAAGCTTCCTGCCCTGGCTTCTGGAGTGCTTTCTTTTAAAGGCGACTAACATGGAATGAACGGAAGGGTTAGGGTGATCTCCTCGTTCTCTTTTCTAGCCTCTCTCTATTTTTCCTGGCATGAGGTCTTACTATGAAGCCTACGCTGACTTAAGTACTACCCTCCTGTCTCAACCTCTAACATGCTGGGATTACATGTGTGCACAATCCACCCAGTTCACTTATCTACTCTTCATTGGCTGAGTACAAAACAAGATGAGGATTATTAGATATAAAGATATAATCATTCCAAGTTTTAAAAGAAACCGTCTGTTAAGGCGGGGACCGAAAAGCTGAGTTTAGTGTACCGCACATTTAAAATGTGCTGCTGAACTGATGATGATGACAGACACCAAGTCTTCATTGGATGACTATCTCTTCACACTGGAAATGCTGGCCGCTTCATAAAGTTAAATGCTCCCAGCTAAAACACTGTAATTACTCAGAACCAGGGAATAAACCCAAAGTCTACCCAGACAGCTCTTCGGTTCTCCTTCAGTCTCCACATTCCCTTTCAGAGGCAGCTACGTTATAAACTTAGCATACAGGTTCCCAGACCCTGTTAGACGAGATTAGTGTTTACACTTTTCTAGCTTTTCTATCGGAGGGTCCAGGGTTGCCATTAACCTATAGTATTTATCTGCTGTTTGATTTCACACAACGTCACAGAGCACAAAATCCCCCAAGGAAAGCCGGGTATAGTGGCACATGCCTTTAATTTCAGCACTCAGGAGGCAGTGGCACAAAGATGCTGTGAGTTCAAGGCCAGACTGGTCTAAGTAGTGAGATCCAGGACAGCCAGAGCTACACAGTGAAACCCTGTCTCAAAACAACAGCAACAACAACAAAACCAAACAAACACAACCCCCCAGGGAAAAGGTACCAATGAGATCTATAACAAACCAAACTCCGTCTGTTTTGAACACCCTTCCCTGCTCTGTACTTCCCCATCCAAAGCTTCCTGAATGAGACAGAGAGGGCAACGGCATGAAACTTCTTAGACATCAATTATTTAAGGGTCCCCAAATAGAAACTTGCAAAAAGGAACTGGAACTGAAACTGTGGTTGTGCTTCTGCCAGCTAGAAATTATGTGTGTGTGTGTGTGTGTGTGTGTGTGTGTGTGTGTGTGTGCGCGCGCGCGCGCATGCATATATATGATAGATAGATATGATATAATATGTTAGATGACAATAGCCAAAGGCCTAAAACTCAAAAAAATAAAGCACCGGTCAAGGATGGCCTATGTAAATGACATCTATCCCCATCTTGGCAGTATTATTTATTTCTCAACTGGACAAGCATACATAAATGCTCCCAGCTAAAACACTGTAATTACTCAGAACCAGGGAATAAACCCAAAGTCTACCCAGACAGCTCTCCGGTTCTCCTTCAGTCCCCACATTCCCTTTCAGAGGCAGCTACGTTATAAACTTAGCATACAGGTTCCCAGACCCTGCTAGAATATATATGGTGTTTACGCAAGTATACCTGAAAATACAAAATAAAATGTATTTGCTAATGCGCCATACTACACAGTGTTCTGTGGCTCACTGTTTTCAACCTAGAAGGTCTTTTCAAAAGCATCAGCGCTTTGGATTCATTCCATTCTTCCTAATGGGCACACGGTATTCCACACAGCCTATTCATTCACTCAGATCTGCAGCCCCTTCTCTCGCACGGGCTACTTAGAACTCTTTACGACTATCCAGAACTAAGTAGTTCAATTGTGATTTTTCCAATTGAATTTTACTTCCTCAGTGAAATCCATACTGATCCCCCTATCCTTTTTTTAGAAAATGGTTTTCAGGCTACTATTAGTGGGATAAAGATTTCACTGAAATTAAAAAAAGAAAGAAGGAAAGAGAGAGAAAGCCTCACTTTTGCTGAATAATAACTTTGCTCTTAATTTAAAAATGAGAAAACACATGTAAGTACATATGTGTATGAACAAATATATAATTAAGACCTACTAAGTTGGTTAAAAAATAAGTAAACAAATAAAATTAAAATAGAATTCAGAAAACTGAAAGGAAACCCCATGAGGAACCATCTGTTGGGACGGGTCATTAAGGAACGGAAGGACAGACAGGGAGAGAATAGGAGCCAAGGACAATGGTATATCCGTACCCAATGTCGTGACAAAACACAGCCTTGTATACAACCTAACAGAACGGTGGCGATGGCAGGGTGCAGGCTCTGTTCAGGAGATACTCTGCACCGAAGCAAGCAGAGAGACTAAAAAGCTCAACTACAAGGTGTAGTTTACTACACAAACCAACACACACATGCTTGGAGGTGGGTGACCAGGCACCAGCAAATAACAGGCTCACAAGTAAGGCCGAGAGCTGGGCTTGGTGAGAGCTACTTGGGAAACGGATGCAGGAGACCTTCCTGGACTATAGAGTGAGCCCAAAGCCAGCCTGGGCAACGTAGTGAGTTTCTCTTTCAAAACAGCAAAGTAAAACGGGGGCTAAGGACCTAGCTCAGTGGTAGAGCACTTGTGGAACATGCACTAGGCCCCAGGTGCAGTCCTCAGTACCAGAAAAGGGAAGGAGAGAAGAAGAAAGTGCTAGAGAGGGAGAGAGAGGGAGGGAGGAAAGGACGGACAGAGAAAGGCTTAAGCAGCATGACTAATTAGCCCTTTACCACATGTTCAGAATGGGGCATTTTATATTTTACCGTATCTTTCAACCATGGAGAGTATGACCACCCTTATGTCTTTAGCAAACAAACGAAGACCCAGAGACATTAATTAAGTCACTTCTCACGGTCTCACAGCTTGGTGGAAGTGAGATGAGACAAAGTCTATCAGAGTGTACTATTCACTCTGTAGGTTCTAGAAATTCCATGAAGGAGAGCAGTGGTCACACTAGGATGCTCCTGAATCAAAAGGGAAGGAGGAGCAGGGTGGAGAGCCTATCATCTAAGTGCTCAGGAGGCCAAGGCTGGAGGACGGCTGTGAATGAGACCAGCCTGGGTGACAAAGGGAGACGCTGACCCTACACCTACACACACACATGTATGCATGCACGCACACATACATCCAGGT